CGGTAAGGTCGAAACCTCGAGCGTGTATCTCCTCGAGGGTCTCCCTCCGAGACCTACACTTAGTAAGTTCGGCAACCCAATGAGCTCGAGCATCGGCGGTCTTCGCCGCTTCCCGGGCCTCCATATGAGCAGCCTCATCATCAGCTCGATATATAGCAATGGACTTATCCGCCAAGACTTTCGACGACTCAACCTCCGCCTTAGCCTCAACAAGTCGTGTTTCAAGCTCATCGATCTTCTTAGCTTGAACCGACCCCTTTTGCTTGACACTTCGAAGTTGAACGTCGGCTGATAATAATTTTGTTGAGATGGTTTCTTTTTCCGCTGCCAAGCGGTCGATGGTCTCCTTCCACCGATTGCATTCAGCGCGGATTTGATCGACTTCTTCTCTAAGTAACCCGATCTTTTTGATCTTTTGCTGCAACTGAGACAACNTCTTTTGCTGCAACTGAGCTAACGAAGAGTTAACTTCCACGGTTGAGTCAGACCCATACTTTAACAGAACAAGGCTCACCCGCTTATCGAGCTCGACCCCTTCTTCACGGACCTTAGCCAAATCCTCTTGGAGGTCCTTTATAGCCTCGTCCTTTTGGCTGCAAAGAAGCCGCAGGGCATCTCTCTCACCTGAGACCTTCCGGAGCTCGGCCTCACACTGGCTAAGATCGACTCGAAACCTATTAATGGCCTACACAGTAAGAAGCAAGAGTCAAGTATGGAAAAGAACAAAGAAACCAAGTGTGGAAGAATCATTACCCGAGTAATGAAANGCCTCACACTGGCTAAGATCGACTCGAAACCTACCAATGGCCTGCACAGTAAGAAACACGAGTCAAGTATGGAAAAGAACAAAGAAACCAAGTATGGAAAAATCATTACCCGAGTAATGAAACGCTGAGCCTCCTCTAATAAAAGAGAAGCGTCACCAATATCGGAACCATCATCGACTCCCGTAAAACAATCCCTAAAAGGATCCCCTGCACCAGAGCCTTCGTCGATATCGGGAGACTTCAACTCTCGAGCTTCCTTCAACACCTGCTCAGAAAAAGATGGAAGAGAAGGCGAATGACCCATTGTCATAGCCCCGAGCAAATCACTCGGAGTACTCCGGTCGAGACTCAAGTCTTAGGAACCAACCCCGACAGGCACAACCGCTATCGGCTCGAGAGCTCTAGCAACCTCGATGGCCTCCGTAGATCAGATTACCAAAGCCGAGGAGCTATCTTCTTCTTCTTCTTCTCTCAGTCGTTGGACCGAGTCAATCGAACGGGCAATTACTTTTCTCATCACCCTTCGAGTTTTGGGCTTGGGGTCCACTGGCCGAGATGAAGCTCTTCGCTTCTTATCTTTCCCCTGTTTGGGGACCAGAGACTTGTTTCCTTCTTCACCGCTCGAAAGCCTCAAAGCGGCATCCCTGGTTACATCTGCACAAAAGGAAATCGGTAACAAAAAGAACGCAAAGAATACTTCGAAGGAAACAAGAAGCAAACCTCACCATGGTTCTTGGCCTCCCATCTCCCTTTTGCCAAATCACGCCAAGCACGTTCGGCATAAGAGGAGCTCAAGGCTAACTTCTGAACCCAGTCCTCGAGGTCAAGCACCGCTTGTGGCATCCAAGGGGCAGCTGAACATCAGGGAAGGACATCAGAAAAAATCGGAAAAGGACATGAAAGGTAAACAAGAATCACTTACAGTCAAAATTCCATTCTTCAGGGAACGACATCTTCTCCTCCGGAATAAGATCACGGGTCCTCACTCGAATATAACGACCCATCCAACCCCGATCCTTGTCTTCATCGATGCTCGACATCAAAGCCTTCGATGCTCGACGATGAAGTCTAATTAGTCCTCGAAAAATCTGAGGCTGGTACAGTCGTATGAGGTGGTTCAGAGAAAAATCCAACCTCCCGACTTTGATAGAGAAAAAGCGCAACAAGATCACTATACGCCATAAAGAAGGATGAATTTGGCCAAGGGTGACCTGATATCTTTTGCAGAAATCAATAATCACCGGGTCGACGGGTCCTAATGTGAAAGGATAAGTATAAACACTTAAAAAACCCTCCACATAAGTGGTGATGCTCTCATTGGAGGATGGAATTTGCAACACAACCTCGGAACCCCAGTTGCAGTCTTTTCTGACGGCCTCGAGGTGATCCTCCGTTATAGAGCACGTATACATCGATATGTGCTCACATCGACCCGGAACGGATGAAGGATTCTCCACCTTAAAATCGGTCTTCAAAATGCACGGGCCAGGAACATAGTCATGAACGGACGGCTCCACCGGCGCTTTATCATCAAACGACCGTAAGGAAGAAGCTTTCTCCTTCTGAGGTATAATTTTGAAAGTTTTCGCCATTGATATGAGAAGAAAGAGTGCAAAGGAAGGTGAAAGAATGGACAACACCAAAACTCTGGTATGGGCGGCCATGAAGCAGCGAAATAAAGAGGATAAATAAGAGAATTTGGAAGAAGAGAAGGCGCAAAAATGGTAAAGATTGTACGGAAAGACTATTTATAGGCTAAGGCATGACGATTCGGTATTAACGGTGACCGACCACCATCTGACACACATTAAAAGCCTCGGTAAAACTGAGCCGATGGGACAGTTATCACATACGTCATGATCGGGGTCGATAGAAACGTCGGCATAAATTTGATCGAGCCGTAGAGAAATCATATCGTTTCTCGCCACATCCTTTCCGAGAAACGAGGGGACTATCTGTGTACGGTCAAAACCGATTCTCGGTCATGAAGACTGGTCGAGACGATGACGTCTCGATCTAAGGGTATCCACATGACAAGCTCGAACGAATTCCGGAGTAGGGGCATCGAGTTTCGAGATATTAGACCGATCGATGGCAAAACTCGGTATCATTATCGAGCCCGTATCCGAATCGAACTACGAGGCAACATCGACCGACACAGGCCCCGAATATCGATGCCCCAAGGCAGAATCGAGCTCGAACCAAGACTGGGGGTTCGATCTAACACCGAGCTCGAGCTAGTGCCAAGCTCGCAGATAAAAGCCGTTACAACCGCACCAAGGGAGAGAATCTTTGCAGGAATCAAGGAAGAGACAAACCATCATGGACCCTCCACTATATGCATTATTTTATTATGTTGTTATAGATAAAGTAGTGACCCTCTATTATAAAAAGGGACATAGACTGCAATAGACCCATCTCCCCAACATACATTGAGATTTCATGGTGCTCATTTAGCCTTCTTGTTCATTATTTCCACTTTATAGCAAAAATACTTGTATTGTTATTTTTGTATCATAGGAATTTGCGTATCCTTAGAACCATACCTAAATTTAACGTTATCCGATTTTTCGGGTAAACAATAATATATATATATATATATTTGAATTGGATTTATTTTAACAATGTAAATGCACTTTTACAGTACAACGTAACGCAATATGTTGTAGAAAATTAATTGCTTTGTTTTTCAAGTTACTCGTTCCACTTTACCTAGTTACCTTGAATAACCTTTAAGGTTATCGTCTTACGAAAGGACCTCCTTGCTATAATCTGAAATGTATGATTACTAATTAAGCATGTCCTTTTCTGTATTACTGTAGAATGAGGAAACAAATCATAAACTAGATACAAGAGATTAGATGAGCAATTTGATATATATATATA